CAATCAAGGTCCTAAACACAAACAAAAAAATTTTAAACACAAACTAAAAATTCCCTAAATTTGTTTCTAGAATTAAATTGAAAACATTCTTAATCAAACAACAAATCCCACAAATTTCTTTCGGTGTCTTGTCTCTATAGCTACAATTTCATATTTCCCTAGTTCATTATCTCTTCCAATAAAACTCAATAAAATTAACTTAAATAAATAAAAAGCAAAAAAAAAAAAAAGAAAGGAAAAAGAGTTATAAGCAATTCACATCAATAACAACAATCAAATTGGGATTGTCAAACTAAGAAGACTCCGACTCATGGGCACTATCAAATGACTTCCTTTTGGCTTCTCTTTGGTTTTAGTTCTAAAGTTTTCTTTTCTTTCAAGTAAGTCGAAAGCAGCTATAAGGGCTTAACAGCTTAGTTAGCCTATTTTGAATTTTTTTTCTGGCCGAGGTAGAGCCCTAGGTCTAACCCTTGTTCAAAAGGAAAGAAATTAAATTTAGGACTAAAACCAAAAAGAAACCAAAAGGAAATTATTTGATAGTAGGGTTTTTCAATTTGTTTTAAGGTCATGAATGTCGATAAATGGGTTAGAGTACCCCTTGTACTCCTATTAATATATTATTTTAATTTGCTGATAAAAAAAAGGTCATGAATGTCGAGCTTGCCAAATAGTAAAGAAGGAAATATTGAAGTATATGAGGATTTCTAAAAGTAATTTAACTATTTTGAACTAGATTTTAAACTTGTGTATTGCCCATGCGTTATTCATGCATTGCTGGTTCATTAGCCGTTGTTGTTAGTAGTTTTAGTCTCTATTTAATTCATGGACTTCAAAATATTGTTGGCTGGTCTATTTGGTTGGTAATCTAGGTTAACACTTTAACTCTTATTTCATTTCTTTTATTAATTAGGTAGTCCTTTAATTTGTATAAAATTTTGTATCACTCAGGCCAAACCAGTGTAAAAGTTGACATTATGAAACTTGTTATTGGAGTTATATGCCTTTTACAATTTGGCATGTAATTTCAATTAGGGGATCGTTTGTAATAACCTGAATCAAAGATCTTGTCATCTCAAGAGTACTACGAAACTTCTATCCTGAAACATGAATCGTTAGCCAAGGCTTTGGCTAATAATCTCTCTGTTGAGTTGGCTCTTGAAAAGGGTAAGAGTCTAGTTCCCATTTTTACTGCAGTGCTGGAGAGAGATCAAGCACTTATCATAGCTGTGGTGAGAGGGATCTCAAAGTTGTCAAACAGGGAGATCCTTTTGTTGCCTAAGCCATGTACATTGTTTTTGACATTTTAAGGGGTTCTTAGCAACACAATATTACATAGAATATAACATAAGCTCTGGTTGGATCGATATGGTATAGGAAAGCTTTAGCAGTTTTTATACAGTATAGGGTGTCCAGGGGTTTTGGGGGTGGATATCCATCCAGGAGCAAGAATTGGGACAAGGATACAAGTTGATCATGCTATCAATGTCGTCACTGGAGAGACGGCCGTGGTTGGCAATGATGTAACTATATAATTTATAATGAAACTTTTTTTTTTTTTTTGAAAGTTATTCATGATGTAACTTTGGGAGCAAAGGGGAAGGTTGCTAAATGACAATTTCCGTTTTAACAATGTCAACTTTTACATTTTTTATAAACAAAAAAATTAAAATCAAGATATTTTGCTATTAAAGTGTTAAAACGTCTAATCCCAATTATATAAAATATAAGATTTAAGTGAGATTTACATTATATTTCGTTTATCTTGAGATTGTTATTAGATATTTTAATATTTTTATATAAAAAAAAGTCCATTTTTTCCGGAACCTCTTTTATAAAAATCTATGTTATCGGCACAAATCTTTATATATATATATATATATATACCTTAATTATTTGACTTGTTCGTTATATGGGCTTTATCTTATTCATGAACGGGTTCTTTCGTTGTGGGCTTTTGGGGAAATGTAGTAGTTAGTGGATTTAAGTAAGCCGGATACTCTTCGCATAGTGGGCTTTCAATTCATTACGTTCCAAATGATTTTCAATTTTCAATTTTTTGGTAGGCAGATCCAAGTGATTACTGGTTAGCTGGTGGGCCCATTCAATGATCTTAGTTTGGGTAGAAAGTAGAATAGAATTTTGGTAATTTTTGTTAGGCTTCTATTTGTTGGAAACTTTTACAAACTTTTTTTTACAAATTATCTTATTTAAAAATATAAAATTTAAATTCTTAATTAATTGTTTATATTTTTTAAAAAAACTTTAATTAACATTTTAGATATTTTTAAGATCGTAAAAGATTAAAAAAAATTTATATTTACAACACAACGCTGACAAAGGAAAATTTAACCTAGCAAGTGATCTATGGTTACTCACTTTTTTATATTGGCATTGGTTATTTGTTATGTTAATTTCATATGTATTTTTTTTACGTATTAGCGGTAATCAATGTCTTTAGCTATAAAAAAATCATTATTAAAAAAGAAGTTGTCATTCACATTTGAAGCCTATAGTAATTCATACTTTAGATGTTATGTATAGCCTATAGTAATTCATTCTTTAGATGTTATGTGTAGCCTATAGTAATTCATCCTTTAGATGTTATGCGTATGTAAACTTTTTAATTAAAGGAATGAAATATTGTAAGTAGTTCCGACGGCATGCTTCTATAAAGGCATGAATACTCAAAAGAATTTCGTCTCTTTGAGTTTAATTCTTAAGAAATTAGATTGAATGGCAAATAGAGACCCTAGGCCTCTACTTAACCTAATTGCAACTATTCTTAATTTTTTCTTTAAAAAAAATAATTTTGGCAACGATTTACTGACCTCGTTTCTTTTTCCCGTCATACTCACCACATGTAACATGTGATTTAAACTCATAATCTTTTCTTTTCAAATAAAAAAAATAATTATTAAATTACTTATGTTGTGGGCACTAACCTAATTTCTTTAAAATAGTGCTAATCATTAACAGGCAGATGCATCCACATTTAACAATGATATTTTAGGTGACTAAACTTTTCCATTTTTTGCAAAAGAACTACAAAGAATACATACATTTTTCTGTTTGTCCATGCGATTGCTCTTCCTGGGCTTTGAATATGGATTTAAAAGTACATATTCCTTATTAAACCACCAGTACTTTCAACTACAATAACAAATGGGGCAAGGAAAGAAAAAAAAAAATCTAATTGATTCAACAGTACCGTGTTTTTCTTTCCATTACCTTTCTTAACTAAAACAATTTCACTTTACTACACAGAAAAACTGCTTGAGCCAGCTGTTGGCAAGATGTGAACAAGTTAAAGCGATCCCTGCTCAAAATGAACGTGTACAAAGAGTCTACCATGCAGGCTAACAACAGCCGATGTTAGAAGTGGATCAATTCTTGCAGGCAAGCTCACAATCTGCAGATAATACCCAATTCAGGTGAAGAAAGTCTTTTCCATGTTTTCCCAGATGCTACATAGAATGTAATAATAATATTAAATCATAAATGCTATTATTCATGGGATGTATGCTAGTAGGCTTTAATTTTTTGCTTGAATGTCCATCTTTGTTATCATATTCAGTAGCAGCTTTAACCATTCAGGCATCACTCTAGGATGTAATTGGCCTTTTCACTTTTTTACCATTTTTTCTCTGTTAGGAGCAGCTAGCCATTTGGATTTGCCTTCTTAAAGGGTGTGATACCCCAAGGGTTGTCAAGCTGCTCTGGTTGACCTGTAATAATCAGTTGTCCAGCAGGATCCGATTGAACGTGCGCTTAAATCCACCAAATAACAAGGCTAGCATCAAGGGGTTGGCTTGAGCTGTAAACATAGTAAAGAAAAAAGAAATGTGTGCCTTATAAAGAAAATAATCAATTTAGATCACAACAAAAAGTTAGGATTGGCAACCGATCACAAGTTCTCAACAAACTGAAGCAAAATGCCTTCTGAAATACATATTAAAGCATAAATCTTCAGTTACATGTCCTGAAGCTAGCATTATTGCAGGTTTGCCCAAAACCTATAAATCTCTATAAATCTCTAATCAACCCCCCACATCTCTCCTAAACTTAAGGTAAATAGAAGGTATTTTGAGACAATAGCTCACCTCCTCTCGCAGGAGCCCTGGAACAAGAGCATAAACCTCAAAGAAATCCTTCTGTATATTAAGATGAGCGAAACTCATCAAAACTCTCCACGCATGATAGCCGGTAACATGCTTGTTTACACTAGAGAAGGGAAGAGTGAGATAAAAACAAGAGACTAACCGCTTCACACTCGTTAATCTTGACCCAACAAGCAGGAGGTCCAATATCAACAACTTCAGTGACCAGCCTACCAGACGCAAATTTAATTAGTACTATTTGATTAGAAAATAGGAAAATCATTAAGTTTAGTTGAGCTTATGTCTAATTCTCACTCTATCTTGTGCTGGACATGCCTTTCTTTTACCAATTTTGGAAAAGGCATTGAACCAGACTCTAACCTCCTGGTATGAAGAGAATGACAATGGGACAAAGTTATGGCCTTTCTTTTTCTTTTCTTTCTTTCTTCTTTTTCCTTTTTTTTTAAACATTTGTTGAGAATATTATGGCCTTCATAAAGCAGGAAAGACACTAGACGTACACAAGACTGTGGACGAAAAGAAACTATACGGTCTAAGAAAAACCAATTCGTTGAGAGAAAATGATCACATATCCTGCAGCAGAATCATTCAGAAAATGATCCCAGGAAAAATTGGTCTACATCTCACCATGGCCAGCTCATTTAGAATGCAAATATTGAAGGATAACCCAACAACAGAAAATTCTTGAAAAGGAAAATATGTTAATGGTATAATCAAATGAAGAGAAATATTAACTGCTTATCTGCTTCATTCCGCACAGCGTTCACAGCAAGCTCCATGCTCGTTTGTGTCTTGTGCTTTTGCAAACCTTACTCAAGAAAACAAAATCTACAGAACGAGACACAAGCCAGCAAATGGGAAGGATGTGGGAAAAATCTGTAATCATAGGCGGATACCAATGCTTTTGAGATGCTGTTCACGTTTTTGGCTAGAACTTAAGCCATATCGAGCAAAGCGCTGAGCATGCCAACCCTGCATGGCACGAGCTGCAGCATCCCGACGTGCCCTGCCTATTCCTGAGGGTTGGTAGCTACTTGTCTGTAAGGAAACTCAGAAACCAAAAATAAGCTCTCACAATACTCAAAACTTCGTAAGTGCATTAATGTGAAATTCCGCATCATCTAGATATGCATTTTCAATGAATGCATATTCACAAAGTAACTAAATCACAAAAGCTCATTTCTAAGTTAAAGACCAATCAAGTATTCAAGTGGACCAAGAGAGAAAACTCTGAAAATGTAAATAATTATAGACAACAGATACACAAGAGCCAAAATATTAGGAAATAAAATTCTACCTCCTTTTCAGCACTTGCAGGAGATGACTCAGGAAGTTGAATCTCGCCATTCTGCTTCTTATGTTTTTCATACTCCAATAGAGCCTGAATGAAATTAAGATAAGACAACAAGAAAGATAATATTAAATCAGGAATAACTTGCAAAAATAAACAACTAAATGTTGATGAAAAACCACTATGCTTTTTTCCAAAACCTTTTCCTTGTGATTCTCCATCCCTTTCTGTAGATAAAAACATGATCCAAAGGCAATTGTTACATAGTAAAGCCGGTAAACAAATTATATAGGTAAATAACTTTGGGACTTCAGGCCATTTTAATGGGCACAGAACATCCTCCCACAAGCAGAAACAAAAACATATTGTTCCATATCCACATCCTACCCCCAGTCTCAAAACAAGCATGAAATACAAAATTTTAATGCATCATGCGAACACTATCAGTCTTCAATGATGATGTTCCAGCACATAAAGAATGTTAAAATATAAAATTATCACCATTATGATTGACAGCCAAAAAAAATCATTATGATTAATTTTGGCATAACCCTCAAATCACCCCTTTAAAAATATGGGTAGGGATGGATCCACCCTCCAAAAAAAAGCAGGGACAAATGGCCTCCCAAAAGTATCGATTGACCCAAATCGGTCATTATTTAACAAATAACGTCATCAACGTCACGATCTCCATTTTGCTCGTGCTAGCGTGTTGTTTTTTTACACGCTGGATGCTGATGTGTACCAATCCCGTTCTTTTCACACACCGTGTCATTTGTGCACCCTTTGTTTGACAATATGGTTGGTGGGTCCCACTCTTTATTCCCTTTTTAACCGATATTTGATGGCCACCCTATTTGCCCTAGTTCAGAGTTTTCAAAGTTGAGGGTTAGGGTTCTCTTCAAAACCACAAAACCACAAGGCTTTATCTTATTTCTGCAATTCCTTCCTGAAATTAGTTGAGGGAAAAGATTGTGGGTGTTTGTGAGTTTATTCGCATGGAATCTTCCTCTAATTTTGGAGCTAGACCTTGTTGAGCGTTTGCTGATGCAAGTGATGGTGCAATAGCAAGAACAGTTGTGAGGGATGTTAGGCTGGTTGAGCACAACTATGAAGGTCCTTAAATGTACTGTGAGTGTGGCTTCAAGGCACCAAGGTGGATTTCATGGAGATCGTGGAGCATTGGGAGATGATTTTATGGTTGCCGGCACTTCTTGAATGAGGTAAATTTGAGGTTCTGCCTTAAGCCAATGCAATATTACTCATTTATTGTTTTTTTTTTTCTTCCAATTTTTATTTACTACTTTTAGGTTGTTTAATGATAGGATTTAAAATGCCCGTATTTTGTTTGGCATGACTTGGAATTATCCCATGAGAGAGCCATTGAACTACTACAGCTTTTAATTATCGAGAAAAAGGCTCTCACAACAGAAAATTCAATATTGAGAAGGCAATTAAGAAACATAGTGAATGGAGGTGCAATTGTTGAGTCAAGCCACACCATTTCTACAACAAATGAGGACATCATACAAAAATTGGATGAAATGTTGAGAAAACTATGGCAAATGCTGTGAATGATATTGTTGAAAGGAAATTTGATGTCTTGGTTGCAACCTCTATTGGTGTTAAGCTCAAAAAATTAATGGTTCATACTGTATTTGGTGTGCTTGCTCTAATGGTTGTGTATTTAATGTTTTGGGTGTTGTTATAAGTGGGTAGGTGATGTTTCAAGCATAAATGTATGGCTCTTATTTTGGTGGTTTGTGGTCATATATGATAACCAAAATTTTGGAAGCTTGGAGTACATGCCTATCAACCATTGTAATGAATTGAATATTTTATGCAGCAATGGAAAAAGGTTTCTTCTACATTTGTAAAGTTATTTGTAAATCAAGACATAAATACTTAGGTTTCTAATAACCTAAAAACTGTAAAATAACAGTAGATGGTAAGCATTTTGTAGCAAACAAAAGAACCAAAAGAACATTGTACTTCATAGCACTAATAGGTTGTTAAGAAACACATAAGCATAATACCAAAATAAGCTTGTTCATGAGCACATAAATACATTTTTCATGCATAAATAAGAGTATAACATTAAAGGCCAAATCAGTAACTGTATACACTGCCAATAAACAAAAAAATAGTCATGCCATCAGAAACCAGCCTTTAGGCTCTCTCAAGCCTTATCTTTCCCCTTTCATTTTGAACCCTGTTTGTTCTGTACCTACTTGGATTTTTTCTGGATTCTGCTTTGCCTTCATCGATGACAATACCAGCAGCCTCCATGAACTAAAAAGAAAAAATTAAGGTGCACAATTCATTACCTTATACATAAAAAAAAAAGAAGAAGTTATAAACACAAAAAGAAAAGGAATTGTACACAGTAAATATTATTATTTTTTCTTACACTATTATCAAGCTTTCGTTTTGCTTTTCTTGTTCTTCCTTCTATCCTTCGCAGACAGACAGTATCACCTTTTTTACTAACCTTGGTGTTCTTTTTTGCTGCTTTTGGTTTTTGTGTGAAATTTGAACTCTTTTTACCTATTTTCTTGACTTGCCATTAAATAAAGTTAACGTGTTAAATAAAGTATAACATTGCACAAATAAAGTCGCACAAATAAAGTGCAATAGTAAAGTTACCTTAGTTTGACTAGGGCCTACTTGTTCTTTGTCTTTCTGTGGACATCTAGCTTTGTTGTGCCCTTGTTCACCACACACACTACAAGTATACACAGATTCATGGTTAGATAACTTGGTCAATTTCCACTTCTTCATTTTCTTAGGCTCATCCTTTGCCTTTCTTCTATTCCTTCTAGGGCACCCTGGCATTGACCTCATCTCTGGTGGTAAACATCCTCCTTCTGGCATCCTCCTTCTGGCCTCCTCCTCAACACTTCGTTCCCTCTGAGGCATTCTAGTGCTGTCCCATAAGTTTGAAGGTACTTTTCCTTTTTGTAGTACTCATCAACAAAGTACTCAAAAGTCCAATCTTTGAATCTTAATGCACAAAGAGCATGTGGGCAAGAAATTCTAGTGAGGTTCCATTCTTTACATGAGCAATTTCTTTCATGGACATTGACCACGTGTATGCTGTGTATGCCCATCAAACACAGCAAAGCCATTGTCACCATTCCACCTCACATTGCATTTCATTAACAGCTTATTATTATCATTAATCTTCTTCAGAACTCTAGGTGCAATATTAGTTGCCCATGTATCAGCAAACAACTTTTTGTCTTTAAATCTCTCCATGAGTTGGTCAATTAAAGTCCTAAACATTGAAATAATGGCCTTACATCTTACACTCAAAATCCATGCATTAAAAGTCTCACACATATTATTGTCGACCACATCAGACTTACAATGCTCATTAAAAAAGGCCTTGCACTAGAAATTACCAGGCAATTCATTCAGTTCAACATAAGCCTCCTCAGACAATGCCCTCAAAGTATCCATTTTGTCTAGATGGTTGAACTCATTGGTTGCCCTACATGCCAACCAAAATGCAAACTTGATGTCATCACCTCTATTTCGCCTTGCAAGATTGCAGTAGAGGTGCCTTGCACAATATTTATGCCAAATCAATGGTAATACCTCTACCTTTGCATTTATAATGCCCTGCACAATTCAAAATGCATTTAATTATTATAATAAACACATGTCCCTAATCATAAAAAGTTAATAATAATTGTGATAAATACTTACTGGATGTCTATCAGAAATGATGGTGTAACCCTGTCCATCGCCCAACTCCAAATCATTTTGCAAGCTTTTCCATGAACTATTGCCAAGAATCATTGTTTTCTGACTCAACGACAACCCATGCAATTGGGTACATCTGATTATTTCCATCTCTACCAGTAGCAGATAACAGTATACCCTTGCATATTCCCTTAAGAAAACAACCATCAACTCCAAAGATTGGTCTACATACTTTTTTCCAACCATCACTAACTGCTTTCAAACACACATACATCCTAC